GCGGCTTCAATCTGCGTGTGAATACAGGCATAGCTATATATATGCTTTAGATGCTTAGTGAACTTATAGACTTGACTTACCTCAACTCGTCCAAATTTTGTGGGCGGCCCTCTCCTGTACCATGTTCTGCGGAATAGTTATTTATTGGAAAGAAACCAATCAAAAAAATAGTTGCACCAGAAACAAATGTAATAATCATCCATAACAAAACCAATTTGATGTATGGGGTTTCCTCATGCATGTATGCATTTTTAAACATTTTTTAGTTTATAATCACGAAAATCATTTGATGGTATTTTCACGGAAATCATCCAATACATTGTAGGGATGGCAAAGTCGACTTCGACTATCGACCAAAATCGACTTTTTACTCCTGAAAGTCGAATTTTAGTGATCAACTTTTAGTTTATGGAAGTCGACTGAAGTCGACTTTTCACTTTCGACTCTCGACTTTTTTTGATTTATTTGCATATAAAAGCTGATCTGCTAACAAGGGCGCAGAGTGCTTTTTGCTCGTATTTAAAAAAAAATTGCCAATAAAACTGAAGTGAAATTTGAAAAGTGTGGTAGATATAGCATTGACACATTAAGTTAAACTTTTGGCAGATAAAATTAATCTTCTGGCAAATAAATTTAGTCTTTTGGCAAATAAATTTAATCTTTTGACAAATAAAATTAATCTTTTGGCAAATAAATTTAATCTTTTGGCAAATAAATTTAACCTTTTGGAGGGTACTGTTTATGAATTTGTACAACGATTTTGGGTTGCTGTGCCCAAACGCGTGAATCGAATCAAAAAACTTTTACACACACTTGTAGACAACAGTTCACGCTGGGGCGGTGCCCCAGTTATGTCACGCAGAAAGGAGAATTCTACGTAGTAAGGGTTATAATCCCTAAGCGCGGCCGAAGGCCGCCTACGCAGAAAGGTGTTCTCTGCAAAAGGTGTTCACCCCCCTTCTTCGGACGCAAGTTTAACTTTGTTTTTTCCTTGCAAAAAATCTAAAATCCCCTATTTTCAAACAGCTCCCCAGAGGTCTGTGGGAGGGGTTGGGGGGGGAGCGGTGACTTTTCATAAAGCGGCGTCAATCCTCTTTCGTTTAGGGGGGATTTGTGGGGCCCACACCCCGTCCCCCTCCGCCCGCACCCCTAAATCGTTGAACAAATAGCTAAACATTTCCCCTTTTGGCAAATAAAATTAATCTTTTGGCAAATAAATTTAATCTTTTAGCAAATAAAATTAAACTCTACTATAGTACTAAACAGTGTTTGAAAAAGTAAAAAATGCACTAAAAAACTGCTGTTGCTAAGCTAGGAAAGCATTTTTTTTTAACTTTTGTCGCTTAGCTTTACTGCGCCTATATCAACAGTTAACCTCCAGGACAGCTGAAAAGTGTTTTTCTGTTCTGTCGATTTGACTGCTCACTTTCAAATAGTTCTGTCACAGCATGGTCTCAAATATTCGTCAAGCTATCTGGCGCATTTTATTTCAACCAAACCAAGGGCCAAAAAAAAAACCATTTTCGATGAGCACCCTAATGTACATATGTGCGTATGCACATAAATAAATTTTTTTTTGTACCTTCAATTGAAAATATATTAAGGGAGTTCAAGATTTGTAGCATTTTAGATGGTTTTTTTATCTCATTTGGCCATAATGCGTGGTTTGGTTGAAATAAAATGCGCCAGATAGTTCGACGAATACAGGTTTGCCGAAGTCAATATCAGTATGAGCTGTTATAAGCATCGTTCACTTGTGGTGGCTGTATTTGCAAGACAGCACGCTTTGCGCTGGTGTCCGTTCATCCCCCGTTTTTAACGTGAGTAGGCTTAAAGTCACAAAAACGGCACCCTTTGCCAATGTCTGGTACTGAAGTACTTGGATATAATTTTGAACTTAAGAGCGAAATACACCACACAAGCGGTTTGACAAACCAAGCGAAATTTCCCTTTGTTTCAAGCCATTTGTGCTGTGTATGGGGGTGTTTGAAGGTTTGACAAACCGCTTGAGGGAAATTTGAGCAAA